GGGCCCGCCGCACTGTGCCGATCAGCTGTTTGTCGGCACAGTGCGGCAGTCTAGATGGAGATCTGCCGACCCCAGAACCCTTTGTCGGCAGATCCTGTAAGCCTCGTTTCGGCACAGCGCGGCGGCCATTTCCAGGGCCCTGCAAAAAGATTATTTAAATCGCCGCTTCATTTCCCTTTGCCAAGTAAACTTATCTACATGGGCCCGCCGCACTGTGCCGATCAGCTGTTTGTCGGCACAGTGCGGCAGTCTAGATGGAGATCTGCCGACCCCAGAACCCTTTGTCGGCAGATCCTGTAAGCCTCGTTTCGGCACAGCGCGGCGGCCATTTCCAGGGCCCTGCAAAAAGATTATTTAAATCGCCGCTTCATTTCCCTTTGCCAAGTAAACTTATCTACATGGCTCCGTCGACAGAGCCATGTAGTCTAGACACACCCTCAGTGATTAGCTAAAATAGCTTTAACTTACTGTTGAGGGATGGGGAGTTGGTATTGCAACATCTGAAGACATGACCAACCTGCTCACAACTCAACTACAAGCAGATGGTGGGTGGGATTTTCAAAAATGCTGAAGTGATTTAGGAGCACAAGTCCAATAGAGTCAATGGTGCTGCTGCTCCTAAGTCACATGGGGTCTTTTGAAAATCCATGTCTATTACATGGGTCACATCATACTGTCCAGCAGCCACTGAATTTGATGACCTTATCGATTGTGTCGATCTGTCAAGCTCTACAGTGTTATAGGAATTTCAGATTTATGTTTTATGCTGTGTCTTTCTCATTACTTTGGGATTTATGGGGACAACAAAATACCATGCAACTCTTGTTCATCACACCGGTAACAATCTCAGTGTTACCCTGTGCACCTTCTTTCTGTTATATCTGGGCCCGATGAACTCTTCTGGAAGCACAACGCTATTAGATTTTGTGGGACCCCCCCCAAGCTCATGACTGGAGCAGAGGGTTGGGATAGAGGGCCTGGGTGGGAGTTAGGGTGTGGGTGAGGGCTCAGGGCTGGGGGAGGGGGTTGAAGTGCAATGGGGGCAGCTCCCCTTTGGTAGGTGAGGGGGGCAGCCCCAAGTGGGGGGAGGGGCAGGAAGCTCTGCACGCTGCTCTGCCCTCGCTTGCAGGCACCCCTCCCCCCCAGCTCCCACTGGCCTCGATTCTCGGCCCATGGGCGTTGTGGGAGTGGAGCCTGCAGGCGAGGGGACAGCAGCACATGGAGTCACGTCCCTCTTCTCCTGCCGGGCAGGGCTAGAAAAAAAGGGCTTTTTTGGCTGTAACCCAGGGCCTTTCAAAAAGACCTGAACTTTTGCCAGCCCAGAGGTCTTTGTGCAGGGTCCCTCTTAGCCCGAATCCCTGGACTACACCCCCTAAAGCCCCATTCTCGATCCAGCTCTGTCTGCGCTCTGTCATCTTCCATTTACATTTCAAATTCTTGTGGTGTGATGTGTGAATACAACGGGCAGCATAACCGGGCCGGCACTGGCACCTCTCCAGATGTTACCACAATAGAAATAAAGAGGAAGAGCCAGGCAACTGCCAATATCTCTAATTTATGCCCATTTGCTTTAGCGCGTTAATTTGCAATTTTGCTGAGAGGTGAAGACAGATTCCAAATAGCATCAGCTTGTGAAGTCAAACTACTCTCTTCTTACCGCCCCCCCCCCCCCCCCCAACCTATCCCCCCCCCCCTTATTTTATTTAAAAATGAAGCCTGGCCAACAAACGCCATATTGGGGCAAAGCCCCCATCTGGCCACAGCATCAGAACACTGACCGCCCCCCCCCCCACCCAACCCCCATGCCCTCTCCTCTTCTATTTAAAAACACACATTCAGTGACCCTCCATGCATGCAAGCTGATTAAAAAAATGCTTTCAAGGACAGCGTGACGAGTTTTACATTAACTCAGACAATGGAGACGCTTATCCTTAAATATCATGTAACAAGATATGTTCTATTCCTTTGGTTGGATGGTTAAAAAAATGGGCGGAAAGTCAGTTTTATTTACTGGAACTCAAAGGGTTAAGAAATGTGCTCACCTTTATTTATATCAGCTTGGGTGAAACTTGTGATGGGTCCCTTGACCGAGATCTGAACGAGGTTATCAATTTTAGTCATCTGCAGACGTCCAGTACTGGGATCTTTCTTCATGACATACCTGACCCTCAGGTCATCTGAATCAATAGTTGTAGCTTTTAAGTGCTGGCTTGTGATGCGTGCTACAGTGCCTAGACAGTAACAGACGGCACATAAATAGCTCCACTCAACCCTTCCAGATCACTTGCCCAATCATTCTGAAAGACTTGATTGCATTATTTATAAATAACATGTAACATTTTCAGAGATTTTGCACTTTGTTGCCTCAATGAAGTACCAAATATTTCCCTCCCAGGTCCAATTTTCAAACACAAAGATACCTTAGTCAGTTGCCTAAATCCTGCATTGAGCCACCATTTTTTTCAGAAGAGGCTCTTGCACAAGGAGGAGTGTCTCCACTGCCCCTTCTTGGGAAAGAAAAACCCTCTTGCGCAATGCCGTTACACCTATTACTTTTCAGGAAGAACGGCATTGCGCAAGAGGATTTTTCTTGCGCAAGAAGGGGCAGTGTAGACGCTCCTTCTTGCGCAAGAGCCTCTTCTGAAAAAAATGGTAGCTCATTAGGTATGCAAATGAGGCTTGGCGATATTCCATGTTTAGCCTCATTTGCATATTACCCGCGCAAGAAGCCGCGAGTGTAGACATAGCCCTGGTGTTTTTTGGACAACTCAGTACAAGGAGACTCTACAGAGAACAACAGACTGAGGGGTTAGGGGTCATGACAGAGGAGAAACTATAACAGGCCCTGTTCTCCTCTCACACCCATGATTATCACTGTAAAACTCCCTGAATTACTCCACTGTAGGAGCCGTATGAGAAGAGCAAGAGGTCCAATTATACAATTGGCTAATGAATGGCAAAGTGGAGGAAGGACACGATAGCAATCTAGAAATATTTCGCGTTGGGGCAAGCAGGAGGGAGAGGAATTATTTGGGGAGGTTCAGGACAGCATGACTCGGAGGAATGAATGGCACTTTCAGAAAGGTCAGTTGAAGCTGCACATCAAGAAAATATTGTTAATGAAAAGCTATGGCAGGCTGTAGATAAGTTCCAGGGGAAATGGAAAAAGCCTGACACTTAAGACATTTAAAACTAGATTAGACAAAGCACCTACATTGCAGGGACCTTGCTAGGTGGGTTTGCTAGATCACCCTTGCCCACATCATTTCTAACTTGTATTATTCCTTTGACATGTCTAGCAACTTGTGTTGCTCTTCCTGGAAGCACAGCAGTTTTTAAGGGTTTCTTCTCCCCTCCCCTCTTCTCCTTTTGCCAGTCCAAAGGTTTTTACACTTTTTTGATATACTGGGACAGAAGCCTTGGCTGAGATGTTCAGTCAGCTTGGGGATTTAAACATTCCCACTTCTGATTACTGTCAATTCGAGCTGTCTCTCTAAATCCCTTTGCTGCCTTTGAAACTCTTGACCCCCTATGTGTGTATTTTAGAAATGTGCGTCTGCCTGTCCGTCCGACTGTGAGTCCATTTTTTCCAAGAACTCCTCCTCAACAATAAGAGCTAGGGTCACCTAATTCTGTCGGCGGCTTCCTCTCTTCCTAACTCAAAGCAAGGTCGGGGTTTGATTGTGCCAGGACAATGGGATGTGCCTGAAATTCAATTGTTTCTCATCAAATAGAAAAGGAGGGGTCTGGTAGGAAGGCGTTATACTGTAGAATGACTATGGGGGGAAGCAAGTGCTACAGCGGGAAGCACTAGTAGGCAGCCTCTGACACCTCCCACATCCATGGGCCGCTCCCCCCCCCATCCCTGGGATGCCCTCAGGGTGAAGTCGGCAGCTGGAGCATGCATCCCCCCCAAGATGGCGTTGGGAAGAAGCCAGCAGCTGAGGTGCATCCCCCTTCCTGCGGTGGGCCAGCCCAGGGAGAAGCCAACATTCAGGATGCGCGGCCCCACCGGGTAAGTCTTCCAGTTAATTTCTGTGGAATTCGTTAGTCTCTCCACTCACACCGTACCAGCTGAAAGCTGGAGGCCCCTGTTCACAGCTAATCTGGGTGGCTCATTCTCCATCGAGAACTCCACTCTCCCGCTCTCGGTGTGCAGCCCATCTGTGAGAGAGAATCTGAACTCATCCGCCCGTGTTCTGGAACTGCCCTGCGTGTAAACAATCAGTTGGTCCAGGACGTCCTGATAGGTGAAGGAGGAGCCCAGAGACAGAACACGCCCATTCTCCAGCGGCTCTGAGTAAGACTGTCTCCTGCGGAGGCGGCCTGGAGAAAAATAGGCATAGTAAACACACAGAGGAAAACAGTCCCATGGGAGTCACTGATTCTCAGTGTTGGTGTAACTGGCTGCTTGTGCACTCCTGGACACCCGGCAGGCCACGTATTAACCACTACCTTTTCACACCCGCTTGGCACTAGGGATGTACAGGGTTAACCGGCTACACGGTAAGCATTGTCTCTAACCAATTAACCGGCGCACGGCTGAGCTGGAGCAGCCCACTTGGACCTACTGCACTACGGGTCGGGGTCACTCCAACCCACCTGGGCTAGAGCAGCCCCCCGCCTGTTTGCGGCGTAGTGTGGAGGGCCCTACTCGGCCCAGCTAGTGCGTCATGGGCGGGGGCTGCTCCCACCTAGCCAGGCCCTCAGCAAATGGTGACTGAAGATGCAGAGCGCTGGAGCATCTGGTTCTTGGATTCTTGACTAGAGCTAGGAGACATTTTTTGGCAATTCAACTGGCCAGCACAGGGGGAAAGTGCTGTCTTGACCTTACCCTTCCTATTTTCTAAAAGGGTGTCAACAAGGAGGAAGGAGAAAATTTGTTCCTCTTGGTTTCTGAGGACAGGACAAGGAGTAACGGGCTTAAAGTGCAGCAGGGGAGGTTTAGATTGGACATTAGGAAAAAATTCCTAACTGTCAGGGTGGTCAAATATTGGAATAAATTGCCAAGGGAGGTGGTGGAATCTCCCTCTCTGGAGATATTTAAGAACAGGTTAGATAGACATCTGTCAGGGATGGCGCAGACGGAGCTTGGTCCCGCCTTGAGGGTCGATGACCTCTTGAGGTCCCTTTCAGTCCTATTATTCTATGATTCTATGATTTTGGGGTACTGGAGACGGTAGGGTGCCGTGTGGGGGCTACAGGAACAATTGCGGTGACAACAACACTCCTACCCCCACTAAGCACAGACCGGGAGAGTAAGTTGTTAGAAACAGTGAACAGCAGGTTTCAGGCTGCTACAAGTTATTATGGCTTCACATCTAGCTCTCGACATCAGTTCAATCAGCATCGCGGGCGGAGGAATATTTTACGGCTCGAGGTTGTTTTGGCGTCTAAAACAAAAGGAACCCATCTGCCTCAGCAAAGTAGAACGTGGCTTTATTATTCCTTGACAGGTCATTTTCTCCCTAGGGAAATACATCCCAGCTCTCGGCGCATCACGCGCGCTCTGCGGAGGCTGCAGAACGGCCCATTCCAGCAGGATGCAGCAATTAAGCTAGCTCCAAAGAGCAAGTCTTAGAGTCTAGCAGAGTCCTGTCTACTACTGTCCTGTCTCACTCCACAGGTGTCGCCAAGTCGCTTTCCTCCCTGAATTCAGGAGGCAGGAAGAGCTGGGAGCAGTAAGGGTGGGGAGGCCGGGTAACTCGAAAGTCTCTCGTAGGGTCAGATCCTTAGCAGGGCACCAATCTGTGTCGCTGGGCCAGTTCTGAGGGCAACGGGGTGGGTTCTTCTCCTGCACTGACACAGCAACTGAGCAGCTGCTCCATGGAGGTTTCTTCAACTCAGTGGCTGAAGAAGCCCCGTGCTCCCCTCCTGCAAGTCATCTGTAGCAAGAATGCCAGCAGGCTGCGTGTAGCAGCAGCTCTTCCGGTACTCCTGGGTCTCTCCCGCTCCATGCTAAGGGGACCCTGCCCTGCTGCCATGCCCAGGCAGCGCTGTGACGCCAGGAGAACAGCTTTGCCTGATCACTTCCCAAACTGCTTATTCATTTTCTATTCAAAATGCAAAGGCAGCAGGGAGAGGGGTGCATGTACCGCGGGGATGAGCTCTGTGCTGGCCGCTGATCTCAGCCAGCTGCTGCAGGTGAAACCGCGTGTGGGGATGCTGTAGCAGGACAGGTGGAGAGAGACGCTTCTTGGGAAACTGACTAATTGACAAGCTAAACGAGCCCCTTCTACCTCCTGCTGCAGAACCTGGGTCCCCTCAGCATAACACCCACCAACAGGCCTGTAAAACCCCTCAGAGCTGGCCTGTTGGGAAGGGTAAAACCCTGCCCCCCCCCCACCCGGCACAGCCAGCACAAATGTATTTTACAGGAACCAGTCAGCCAGAGCTATGCCCCTTCTGCTCTGTCTTACCATGGTCAGGGCTTTTGGTAACGACAAAGACCAGCCGCTCCGCCGGCGTGTCCAGGTCCTGCAGGCTCAAGGAGGCATTGCTGACCACCGCCCCCGAGTGGCTGCCCACGCTGACAGGCGCCAGCGTCATCTTTGGGGCCTCGTCATTCCGCTGCTACCGAGACACAGAGACAGGCAGGCCGGCTCAGAACCACCTCTCTCACAAGGGACAAACTCACCTTGAAGGAAATTCCCCTGGGATTCAAATAAACGCCCTTGACCTGTTTTACTGGTCCTGGTTTTAAGAGAGTATTTCTCTGAACTGTTGTGTTGGAAGAGTCTCCTGCACGTTGGTCAACATCCTGCCTACACCACAACAGACGGGAACCGGTAACTCACTCTGCCAGAAGCCCAGAGAAGAAGGCCGAGGTGTGTAGTTGTGCTGCACAAGCAGCAGAGCAGGACCTGGATTGTTATGCAGTCACACTCTGCTACCTTCTTGCCTATCGAAAGCAGACAGTGTAGCCTAGTGGGCAGAGTATCAGTGTAGGAGAGCTGGGCCACAGTTCTGCCCCAGGCCTGCTGGGTGACCACAGGCAAGTCACTTCCCCTCTGGATGCCTCAGTTTCCCCCTCTGCAGAATGGGGATAATGAAACCGATCCTCCCTTGTAAACTACTGCAAGATCTACATTTGAAAAGTGATGTAAAAAAGCTGGGGGTTCCGAGTGTCTACGCCAGACCTAGGTGCACGGGTCATCTCTGACAACGCTATAGCTGGTGCATGTTATTCTCCTGATCACGCTAGCTTAGCTGAACTGGCTGGTGTTCTGAAGCAGGGGAGAAGCTACCTGCATGCCTGTGGCATAGGGGGACCTGTGTCCTCTAATTGAGACAGTGAGTAGACAAGGGCACCTTACCCTCCCTCCCTGGTGTGGTATTTGCTAGGGTTCCTAGACAGCGTGTACCTGGATGGTGATGTTGACGCTGTGAGTCTCGGACCGGCTGAAGCCATCACTCACGTAGAAAGTGAAGACGTCGTTCGTTGGCTCGATGCTTTCATGGACGCTCTGAAAGTAGTAAATGCTGTTCTCCAGCACGTCGTTCATGGAGAACGATGCCTCTGCACCTGCAGAGCCCCCGGGGCCAAAACGTCCACCTGCCAACAAAGCCCCAGCAGTGAACGGATGCTCGTTTCCCCAAGAAAACAACAGGAGTAAGGACATGGTCCCAAATTCTGCTTTCCTGTTCCTGCAATTGATTGTTAATGTGTCTAGAGACCCACCCAGAAAGCTGCTTCTTCGGCACTGTGAAATACAAACATCGTGTGCTACAGACACTGTCACCGAGCACTAGCTGGCTTTGGCCCCCTTTTATTAGGGAAATGATGAAACACCCACTAAGGCACCATCTTTTCCCAGCAGAACCAACAGACCAGCTCATCCCGGCACAAACAGTCAGGCTGCCACCCCTTAAAGGTCTGTTTAGTCGGTGGAGATTGGTCTTCTTCAAAACGCTAACTTATTCCGGCTCGTCCATAGGATACACTGGGGAACTGCTCCTGAAATGGGGATCCCAAACAGTACGTGCTGATGGAGGCGTCTTGGATAGCTCAGTTCCAAAGAAACCACCCCACCATGGAGCCAAAGTGAAGCCAGGGCCACTGCAGAGGCAAACGGCCACCATGATGTCCCAAGAGCCCCGTCAGATACCAGAGCGATGTGCAGACCTTGAGGGACCTGCAGGGTCTGTGAGGCAAATCTCTGGGGTTCTTTGGTTGGGGGGGGAGATCCCCCTTCCTACGTCCCCGACAGAATGTACAGGAAACTCCACGAAGGGACCCTCACATTGTTTCCTGATCTCTATGTGGTTTTTACAACACACTGGCACGATCTGGCCCTGTAAACATGGGAAGCCACTGACATGTATCTAACTCCAGGATACAGGGGAGCAGCCAACCAGCATCCTGAACAAACAGTGTAAGGGGGACAGGAAATTATTGGCAAAGGAACTGGGACCAACCCCTCCTGGTATGTGCACCTACATGATTTAGGAGCAGACGTCTCATGAGGACTGTCCATGGATAATATGCGAAAAGAAACAGGGGCTGCTTATGAACCGTAGGTCCTACAGCGAAGTCACAGAAATAATACCAGCCACATTTCTTTGCAGCTTAGCTAGTTTTCAAACTGCAGTGCAATATTTATTAGTCAGAGTCAGGGAAGGATGTCTACGGATAACAAGAATGACCCAAATGACAAGAGTAGATATTAAACATTAAAGAAGGTTTTTATAAAGGATGTAAACCCCCCGGGTGGGACACCCTCTAACTTTTGAGTAAGAAGGAAACTTTCCCTGTGGGCAGGTTCTCTCACAACTTCCAACGGGAGGGTTTCTCTGAAGCAGATAGTGCTGGCCAGGAGTAACCCTGTGCCTCATCCAGTCTGGCAATTCTTATGCTCCCGTTTCCTGACCAAAGGAAAAGAAACCTGATGCAGTTTACCTGTCCTTGTGTTCTCAATGCACCCATATCTGGGCAGCGTAATTATTGTAACCACGAGGTCCTCTTTGGCTGTATCGTAATCGGTGGCTAGGAGATGATGAACTGACAGCGCGACCCTCCCTCCTTCATCCACCTGAAAATAAACAAGGTAAAAGAAGCAGAACAAACATGCTTTAGAGCTGAAAACAGGTTCACTAACTATGGCTGAATAGTTTTATAGTCTACTCAAGGAGGATTTCATCACACGAGTGCCTTAAACTTCTCCGCTTACCTGTTTCTGCAGGAACTCTCTGACTCACTCTTACTATGGGTCACGGCTGGATTATGGAGGTGGGCCTAAGTCCCAATTCTTCCCCTAACATTATATATTTTTTAAAAGTTCCTGCCCCTCCTAACCAAGGAATATAAAAATCAAGTGTAATGCTGGGGCAAGGCTGAGAAAGAACTTATCTTGCCCAAGCAGCAGCAGCCTGCATGCCACAGAGCGAGCGTCAACACAAGGGGAGTGGTTGGAGCAGCAGACTGTACACCAGAGGGTCACAGTGACCTGCTAAGGACTGGGCTGGGTTGTGGTTTGCTGATTGGGAAGCGTTTGATGGCTAGGCAGAGGGAGTGGGAAGCCGGGAAGGGAGGGAGAACACATCAAAAGGTTCAAAGAAGCCTTTGGAAATGTTGCATGTTGAGCCAAACTTCCAGATGTTTTAGGTTCATCCATCACTAGCCTTGTGTGTGTCACCTGGTGACTTGAGCCAGATCCTCAAACAGCACACCACCACTGATATCAATGGAAGTACATCAACTTTTACTGGTGCAGGATCAGGCCCACTGTGTGCAACGGAAATAACTTGATGAGGTTCAGAGAGATGGCGGTACTGTTCACTTCATCAAATCATTTATTAACACTTTGCAGTGACACAAAGCTTTCTAGCATCTTGACTAGACTCCTGTTCACCAGGCTTGCACTCCGGCACTCGATTGTCTGATTGTTCACCTCCCACCTGCTCCTGCTACGACTTCCTGCATTCTGGGCAATTACTCACAGTGATAAGGTCAGCAAAAGCAATGATCGAAGGCTGGCTCTGGACAGATGTGATGGTGATGGTAAACATCTGGCTGTCGAGCCGATTGTTGTCCACATCCAAGACAGTGAAGTGGAAGATATCCACGACGGGCTGATTGTCGGTCTCAAACTCAGTTGAGTATCTGTACCAAGAATGAGATCAGTGAGTCACACAGACAGCCTGCTGAAAGGGTTAAGGACCCCACGGGCAGGTACATGGCTCTTTTCAAGGAAGTAACAACTCGATTCTTTCCCCCTCGACCTCATCCATCCAGACAGAATCAATATTTTCCTGTGTCTGTGGGTGAGTGGCAGTGATCAAGACAAAGCTGGTCTGAGGGCACTGGCTAGTCAGCCACAGCAAAAAAAAAACAAACTTTCAGACAGTTCCTAGCACAGTGCTCTGCAAGCCTCCCAAAATCATGCTGTGAACACGTCAGAGAAACCAGGACCAAACTCGGGAGTGGTTAGGAAAGAACACGGGAGGTGAAGATTAGGGTGATGAATAGATATCATCCCAACAGACCCAACCTGCCCTTCCTGAAAGAAGCACGCTTTTGTCTTTTCTACTAAACCTTCAAATCCGGGGACACGTCTCTTGGCAGGCACGTGGAGTAGGGTTTTGAAAAATGCTCAGCAATGACCTAACTCTGTTTTCTTGCTGAAGCCAACAAAGAAACTCTCACCATTTTCACTAGAAGCGAAGTAAGGCCACTGAGAACTTCTGAAAACCCTATTTTGTTTCTATTGTGATATTTTTATCATTTTTAGACACTGGCTTTTTTTTTTTTAATTAAATAATGGAGATTGCCTATCTCCTAGAACTGGAAGGGACCTTGAAATGTCATTGAGTCCAGTCCCCTGCCTTCACAGCAGGACCAAGTACCATCCCTGACACATTTTTGCCCCAAATCCCTAAATGGCCTCTGCAAGGATTGAACTCACAACCCTGGGTTTAGCAGGCCAATGCTCAAACCACTGAGCTATCCCTCCCCCCAATAGGCTTATTTATGGGCTTAAGAGTTATCACCTTGACCCTTCACTTGCTGCTGTTAATACACAAATGGATTGACAGCACCGATCCCCTGAGCACAGTTCTTCAGTCTTTGCTTGTGTAGGAAAACAGATATATATTGTTGGAAGCATACAGTGACACATGGGTCTTAATTTGGTGTCATGCGGCAAGAGCAAGCACTAGCTTCCTCTGGGTAGGAGCCAATGACAGGCTCAGCTCTGACACTGCTGGGCAAGAAATCTAGACATGAGTGGCGTAACTTGTTGTATCACTTTTTCAGCTGGGACAGTGAAAAAACACTGCTTCCTGCTGGAACTACAGCGCAGAGGATACCACTGGTCACACAACAGCAGTGAAATTTAGGAACGGCATGAATTAGGTGTCAAATATTTTATGGCTAGAACTCCTTCAAGTAAAGGAGATTATTTCTTTTATATCATCCTGCTTGGTACTGCCTACCAAAAAACCCCAAAGGACAACAAATATAGAAACAGAGTTTGAAGATGTTCAAGCTAAATAGTACTGTGTGAGTGCAGAAATACCTATTGGCTGTGTCTACACTGGGCCACTTATTCCGGAAAATCAGCCGCTTTTCCGGAATAAGCTGCGATCTGTCTACACTGGCCCTTGAATTTCCGGAAGAGCAACGATGCTCTACTGTACAAAATCAGCCGCTATTCCGGAAAAACTATTCTGCTCCCGCTCGGGCATAAGTCCTTATTCCGGAACACTGTTCTAGAAAAGGGCCAGTGTAGACAGCCCAGTAGTCTTTTCCGGGAAAAAGCCCCGATCGCAAAAATGGCGATCGGGGCTCTTTTCCGGAAAAGCGCATCTATATTGGCCACAGACGCTTTTCCGGAAAAAGGGCTTTTCTGGAAAAGCAGCCTGCCAATGTAGACGCTCCTTTTCCGGAAAAACTGAAAACGGAATAGTATTCCATTTTAAGCATTTCCGGAAATTCATGCCAATGTAGACACAACCATTCTGTATACCCAAGCATAATCATTTTTATCATCACAAGATACAACAGTGTTGTTATGAGAAACCATCTCGGCTATAATTTATAAATACTGTGTCTCCCAATGTTAATCGCATATCTTTATTACCTGATTCTCTGGTTGTTGATGTCTTCCATGGTGAAATTATAAACCTCAGAAAGCTCGTCAGCATACTGCACCGATGTTCTCCGTAGGAGGGTGCCATACATGGGCAGAGAAACTAACTGAACTCTTATCTTTGAGTCAGGAGAATTATTATCCTAAGGAGAAAAGTAAGCCAAACAGCAGTATTTGCTTTTGTTTCTTTATGAACACGAAAGAAAGAAAAAAAGGTGGTGAAATAGTTCGATACTGAACTAGAAGTAAATCAATGGAGCACCTTTGATTTCAGTGGGGCCATTCTGATTTATACCTGCAGAGAATCTGCCATAAAATGTACATTCCTTCTCTCATAACTGAGAGATGTTCTATCTCTGTGTCACACACACATATTCACTTGGGTATAAGTCTAGCATATTTTATTTTCAAATCACAATAAATGCCAAGTAGAATTTACCTTTCCAATAATACCTAGTTGCTGCTTCCCCTCAAGATGGACTGAACTATAATTTCTATATGGCAGAAAGAATGTACAAAGACTAAGCCAAATTCAGCTCTTAGTTTCACCAATGTAAATCTGAAGCAAACTATTGAAATCAGTGGATTAGTTCTGGATTTACACTGACATACTTAGGTGCTGCATTTGGCCCAGTTATCTATATTATATGTATCCAACTACATAATCTTTTATTTACATCAGCATCATTATTGAACAGTTTCAGGTGACGTTATGTACCACAGTGTCAAAATGTTAAGTCACCATAACTTGACGTAAAAAAGTGTTAAATACACTGACGTAGTAGACGTAAGGTAAGCAGGTTTTGACTCACTTTCATTACATGCATCCAGAGAGCAAGATTTATTTTTTACATAATATTTCAGGGTCCACAAAAATCTAATGTAGACGTCTGAACATTTCACCTTCCTCCACCGCACACAGTGATATTAAACTAACCGCACCTACAGTCTTCTTTAATGCATTAAATATGTCTGTAGTCTGGTCTCATTTCCCGGGCCCCTTTAAAAACGATTTCCCAACAGTGCAGTCTATGCAAATCTGGTAAAATATCTTAACAGAAAATTTTCAGCGCACAAAGAAGTGATTTAATCTGTTTTGGGTTTGGGGCTTTTTTAATTTGAGAACGACCAAAACCATATCAGAAATGAGTGAACTTCAGCACAAGGTGAGTGAGGTAATCTCTCACTCTGTGTAGCTCGAATGCCTGTCTCTCTGATCAACAGAAGCCAGTGTCATAGTGAGGGGGGGGGTGGGGAAGTTGCCTCCGGATACCACACTAAGGAAATGACAATTAGTCATCCCTCGGCTCACATGCCACCACCGGCTGGAGCCTCTTCCCTGCCTCTCCACCCTCAGCCCGACCCTCCTCCATCTCCGCCGGCAGGTTAGTGCGTGCGGGGGCTTGGCCCCAAATTGGAGGAGGCGGGGGAAGACACTGTACAACCCCCCCTTCCCTTCCTCCCAGGGTCAGGCTCAGCTGTGTGCTAGGTTTGGGGGCCAAGGGTGCAAATTTTACCTTTGCCCCATGGCGCGTAACACCCTCACTACACCTCTGACAGTACCTGGTCCAAAGAAAGATATTATCTCACCTGCCTTATCTCTCTAATATCCTGGGACCAATGCAGCTACAACACTGCATGAACTTTTGTATGTCATTTAAGTCTGTGAAACTTGAAAGAAAACAAGATTTCTTTGGAGAAATGGTGCAATAATATTGCTTTCTGGATCTGACACCTTTACGTCAGCCCTAAAGGCGACACCATATTTCTACTCAAAGCTTTTTTTTTTTTTTTTTAATGATGAAGTGATATATGCCTGGAAAAAAGGCCATTAAAATGCTGATAGCCCCTTAGACTGTGAAGTTTGTGCACAGATCCCTCCCATGAATCCCACTGCTAATTTCTTTGCTGCTAAATCCATTGCTTCTAGCAAAGCACGACACTTCTGTGCCACTCAGAGTACGTATGACGTCACAGAATTCTGGGTTGTTTTTAGCAAATCAGGAAGAGTCAGTCAAAAATCGGGGAGGGTAAATCAGTTCTTAAATGATTACTGCTGAGCAACCCCACATGCCTAGTTAGTGGGATGTTTGGTGCATTAAACATGGGAGTAGTGATAGAAATGTAGTCGTGTTAGTCTGGTGTAGCTGAAACAAAAAACAGGACTGTGTAGCACTTTAAAGACTAACAAGACTAACATATTAGGTGATGAGCTTTCGTGGGCCAGACCCCTTCCTCAGATCAAATAGTGGAAGAATTTTCTTCCACTATTTGTTCTGAGGAAGTGGGTCTGGCCCACGAAAGCTCATCACCTATTAAATCATTTTATTAGTCTTTAAAGTGCTACATAGTCCTGTTAAACATGGGATTAACTCAATTTTCATTTCTGCTTTGAAGTTCACCTTTACTTCAGTCAAATGTGAATAGTTTCAAACACCTGGTGGGATGAAAGAGCTCATTTGTCCCTCTCTGGCAGCTGTAGTCAGGGTACATATAGTAAGAGGTTAAAGCATTTGCCAAGTATCGACATTCTGGAGGTGCAGAGGTGTAAACTGCTACAAATCTCCTGAGGGGAAGGAAGCTAGCTGAATGCATTGGGGTTTAGAAAGGAACAGTTACAAGCTTACAATATAAGCAAGGTGTGATCGTGAGAGAGTCACAGAGCTTTTACTAGCCACCGTGACACTCAGCGAGCAGCCAGGGGCCAGGCGAGGACCGTCACCATCCATCAGAGACACTCTGACTTTCAGCACCGTTGTCGCAGTGCTAACGCCGTCCGATACGGAGATTCCCATGCTGTCCTCTGCAACTGATGAGCCATCGTGGACGTACTGTAAAGCATTTCCAGGGACATCCTCATATGGAAAGGTGTCGCCTTGCCAAAAAGAAATATAAAAAGAGTGATGACTCTCTCTACTGCATGACATTGATACTTCAAATTCAGATCAAATGCCTTGAGCCCAGATTAAACAAATCACCAAAGCACCTGCTTCTCTGGTATTTGATGCATCCCTTACAGCTCAGATTCTATCCGAGGGCTTCATTAATGAGTTAGAATGTAAGCAGGGAGAAGCCATGACCCTCATCTTAGTATAGGAAAACGGTGACAAAATGAGTAATGTTTTACTAAGAAACCTCCCCAGTTCTTGTCAGCGCAGCATTTTTCCCTTCCTTCTAAAACCCACATTTCTGGCCAAGGCTTTCTGCACCAGATCTGCACTCCCCCCGGCCAGCTATTCTTTGCATGGCTTTCCCAAACCTCGCATCTGCTGGAACCTGCTACCAAGGAAGACAAAAGCATTTCTCCAGTCTGACAAACAGTAGAAACAGGATCTCCATCAGGAGTCCTTGGATGATGGCATTTTTACATTGACTTCAGTGGGAATATTAATCAATAAAACCAGCTGCTAGATCTTGTACAGAGCTTTTTCATCAGTAGGTCACAAAGGGTAGGTCTAGACTGCACCCCTCTGCTGGCAGAGGGACGCAGATTAGGCAGGTCGAAATTGCTAATGAAGCGGGGATTTCATTAGCATAAAAATGGCCGCTGCTTTTTTTTCAGCCCGGAGCTTTATCGGAGAAAAGCAGCAGTCTAGAGGCTGATCTTTTGCTAAAAAAAGCCTTTTCTGATAGATCCCTTATGCCTCGTAAGACAAGGTATGCAGATCTATCAGAAAAGGCTTTCTTTAGCGAAAGATCGGTCTCTAGGCTGCCGCTTTTCTCCAACAAAGCTCCAGATAAAAAAAATAAGCGGAGGCCATTTTGATGCTAATGAAGCGCGAGATATTTAAATCCCCGCTTCATTAGCAATTTCGACCTGCCTAATCTGCATCCCTCTGCTGGCAGTGGGGTGCAGTCTAGACATACCCAAAGAGACCAGTGTCGTCATCTGTTACCGATGGGGAAACTACTTGCCCCAGGTCAACCAGCAGGCCAGATGCTAAGCCAGGAATAGAACCCAGAGCTCCTGAGTCCCAGAGTGCTGGGACCTGGAGTTGGGTCTCCCACTTCCCTGAGTCTCCCTGAATCCCCTAAATAGCCACCTGGCAACTGGCTACTCAGGAGCGGATTTCTCTGCCTCCAGGGTGCATTCTGAAAGGGCTCCGTTTCGTCCAGGTACTGAATGGGAACATTTTCTGCGGGACAGGCAAACGGTTTCCTGCCCAGAGCTCGTGAGCGTGTTCAGTGCTCGGAAAGCAATAAATAATACCCTGCCGGCTCTCTGAAGAGCTTGTGACAGGCCATGACTAACCATTCATTCGGGACAAACAGACCCGAGCTTATTAACAATGAACACAACCACACCGACAGGGAAAAGATACTGCACTTGGTACCGGCCCCCTCTTCCTCAGCGGCCTGCTCGACTCACCTGCTTTCACGTGCTCCTGCGCCCCATCGTGATACCTGAGCAAGGCCCCGTAGCGGGGCGGTTCCACCAGCTCAAAGAAGAGATCTTCAGGGGCGGTGTCTGCGTCGCTCACTGCCAGCTGTATCCCTGCGCCAGGGGAACACACGGCTCGGGCCTCAGAGCTGTGCTCTGCTGCACAGCAAACCTGCCCCGATTTCCAGCTGCTCCCATGCATTAAATGACAGAAATGAATGGGCAGGAACTGAGCTGGCATTTTCAAATTAATGGAATTCTGGAACGTTCCTGGGATTTCTCCCGGGTGACGCTGAGGGCTCTGGGTTCAAATGCAGATACTAGTGCCCCTCCATCTCACAAGTGACATCTAGCGTGAGCTGCAACTCCTAACCATGTGGGGGGGAGGGGAGGGGAACGCATCCATTCAAAAAGCCTCATGATGCTGTGGGAGTGGATCTGTGAGGTGGCCTATGAACATGCAAAGTTTCCTTATCTTGGCACGTGCTCGCCTATGCCAGACAGCGCTGTGTGCTACAGGGCTAATGCTGGGCCAGACTGCCTCTCTCCCATGGCGATACATTGAGAGTGAGGGGCCTGGCCCTCACAACAGGTCCAGCTGCCCCCCCTGGACTAGGCAGAGCATAGGGAATGAAAGCAGAATGCTCCCCCGGCAGCAGCTCAGCCACAAGGGAGTAAGGGTGCGGGGCAGGCAAAGCCACAAGGAAGGAGTGTGCCGGACCCTTCAAAGCGGGGCAGCAGTTTGTGTCTGCTGAGCTCTCACGATGGATGAGCTGGGAGCAGCCACAACCAAGGCCCATGCGACAGAGAAGGGCCTACACCAGAGCTCGGACAGCTGCCTGGGCTGGGTTTCTGGCCACGAACCCAGCCTGTTGAGCACCGAGGAATCCCTCCAGCCACACTAATTTAGAACAGAGCCTTCGCTACACTCCCTCCTGGCTCCTTACCCACTGCGGCTTCACCGCCCTGGCTGACCTCCAGAAATGGAGCCATCGTCTGGAAGACTGGAGGTTGCTCGTGAGTCGACAGCAGGTGAATGGTAAACATCAGCTCTGGGGTTGTATGCTCTCCATCCGACACTAGCACCAAATGTAAACACACCTGCATTCAGGGACTGGCCTTAAACGACACCTATTGAAATGCACCTAGATCCACATCCCTGCTCTTCACCACTGACTCTCTTGCCTCAGCCCTCTCTAATTACCTTCACTGTCCAGACACAAGACTACATGGCTCAGAAATTCTGAAACAACAGTTGCTTCCTTTATCACTAAGCAGTTCCTGGCAGCATCCTAGAACAGCAGTGAGAGAGAGAGAGAGAGAGAGTCGTCTATCTGTCTGTCTGACTCTGTTAAAGGCTGCATTCTGGAAGAGGCAGAACACACATGGGTTGCTGTCCAGAATAAAGGATACATAGCATTCCCATGCGAGGCAGCACATTGAAATGCCTTAAACAAGGGAACAGGCAAGCTGAAAGGTTTCCATATTACATTTCATAATTCTTGAATCAGCCTTTGCTGTCGTTATTCACATCAATGGAATTTTTGTCTGAATAAGTCCTGGGATTTCAGTTAATGGTTGGAGTAGACCTGTCACAGGCCGTATCTCACTAGATCAAAGATTGATGCTGCCGCAATCGATCTTCCAGAGTTTGATTTAGCAAGCCTAGTTAAGACTCACTAAATCAAACTCAGAGAAAACTCCCCTCTCCTCCATTGGCTGCCTATACTCCTGCTTCTGCAAAGAGAAAGGGAAACTGACAGGAGCATTTGCTCCCATCGGCCTCCCGCTGTGTGGATGGCAGGGAAACGTGAAACAAGGTACATCAACTCCAGCTATGTAATTAACATTGTTGGAGTTGCATATCTTGATTTGAGTTCCCTATGAGTGTAAACCTGGCCTCAGTTATTAAGAACACCAACTCCTGGCTACCAAGAATTCATTGTTTCCCCACACATAATAATCCATAATTTGTGAAAACAGACACTCAGGTATTTCAGGTGCACATTTACTTAACACTCATAAGTCTTTGAAATAGGAAGAAGTGAAGCAAAGGACAATAAGAGAACTGAAAAAGTACCGTGGCCCTTATGCCAGTAGAGGAATAGTGAGTTATATACCTGTGAAACTGAAATTCACTGACTCCGGGAGACCTGTTGGGGGAAACACAAAGTAAAGCACATTTGTTTCTAGCACAGGAAAAAACAGCGTCACGTGGATTTCAATCCATTTGGGTTTCATGGCACTTTATGGAGGCAGTTTATTAAATATACTTCTATCCAGAGTGTTACAGCCAGGAACTCCAGCGTTATAATACTAGCATGGCCACTCACTTGCTGAAGGGCCTCAGAAAATGCCACTGAGTTTGGACACCTCCATTCGTGCGTGTTTAATTTGACACAGCATGGACCTGAATTCTGGAAAGTCTGTGCACTGAAAAGTCCAAGGGAACTGATTGGAACTCAGCCCTTCTGCAGGAGGAGTCTCAAAATAGGTTCTAGTGGTAACTTCTGAACACGGAGCAGTTAGCTCCCGTCTCAGATCCCCTATCTGTAAAAAAGAAATGCTAATGCTTCCCTGCCCCCAAAGCAATTGTAAACATGAACTCTTTGTACTATGCTTTGTCATTGTAAAAAACTTCAATTTTAATACAATTAACAGAGAAATGTTCTGCTGCTGGTTGCTACGAGGTACTCAACATTACAAAGGGGAATTGCATGTTACACTCATGTTTTTAAACCCTGGCAGGCTCAGTGATTTACTAATAATTGTTTTTAAGTGTCATTTCCTCAGCACGTAGAATCACAGAATAGTAAGAACTAGAAGGGATCTCGAGAGGTCATCAAGTCCAGTCCCCTGCACTCACAGCAGGACCAAGCACCATCTAGATCATCCCTGATAGATGTCTACCCAACCTGCTCTTAAATATCTCCAGTGACAGAGATTCCACAACCTCCCTAGGCAATTTATTCCACTGCTTAACCACCCTGATAGTTAGGAAATTTTTCCTAATGTTGAATCTGAACCCCCTTTGCTGTAATTTAACCCCATTGCTTCTTGTCCTATCATCAGAAGTCAAGAGGAACAATTTTTCTGCCTCCTCCTTGAAACACCATTTTAGGTACACTAGAAAACTGCTGTCATGTCCCCTCTCAGCCTTCTCTTTTCCAAACTAAACAAACTAGGGCTCTCAAGTGACTAAAAACTTTAATCGCTTGTAACTCCCCTTTGAAATGCTGCGGCGGCGTTTCAACGGGTCAGCGCTGCATGGAGCCCGGGATCAGCTGGAGTTCCCAGCTGACTCCAGGCTCCATGCAGCGCTGCCCCTTGGAAGCGCCACTGCAGCATTTCAAAGGGGCAGCACAAGGCAGAGCCCAGGGTCAGCTGGAGTCTCCAGCTGACCCCAGGCTCCATGCAGCGCTGCCCCTTTAAGGCACCCGAGTGGCACTTCAAAAAGGCAGCGTAAGCGGAGCCGGGGATCAGCTGGGCAGTCCAGCTGATCCCCAGCTCCACTTGCGCTACCCCTTTGTAGTGTCAGAGCAGCATTCCAAAGAGGCAGTGCAGCATTAACGCCTGCAATTAATGTGTTAATTTTTTCAATGCATTAATCCTGTCCTGTGTTAATCACAGGCATTAATGCAGGTCAATTGACAGCCCTAAAACAAACCCAATTCTTTCAGTCTTCCCTTATAGCTCATCTTTTCTAGACCTTAATCATTTTTGTTGCTCTTCTCTGAACCCTCTCCAATTTCTCCACATCTTTTTTTGAAATGCAGTGCCCAGAACTGGACACAGTACTCCAACTGAGGCCTAATCAGTGCAGAGTAGAGAAGAATGACTTCTTGTGCCTTGCTCACAGCACACCTGTTAATGCATCCCAGAATCATGTTTGCTTTTTTGCAACAGTGTCACACTGTTGATTCACATTTTGCTTGTATCCACTATGAGCCCTAAATCCCTTTCTGCAGTACTCCTTCCTAAACAGTCGCTTCCCATTCTGTGTGTGTGGTTGCAGCTCTTTGATAATATTCCACTCCACAGAACGAGTCTAGTTCACTGCAGACAGAGTAATGCTCTCTAATAAACTTGATTTGCTCATTGTAACAGTATGTGTGCGCGCGCGGGAGGTGGCGGGGTGTTACCTGCATATATTTGTGCCAGCCCTCCTGTGAGTTACTCATCTTCTGCTGTCTTTACAGAATGAGGCTCCAGTAGTCATAACATTACAGAATACAGCCACCCACCACCAAATACAAAACTTCTCATTTCGTATCGAGCCAATTTTTATAGGGCTCCAACACCTCTATTTACAACACAAATTAGCTCAGTACATACAGACCACGAAGCAAAGCTACAGTAGAACCTCAGAGTTACGAGCTGACTAGTCAACCACACACCTTGTTGGAATAGGGTGATGCTTACTGGGTAAGTGGTTAAAGGGCAGCCAGGCTGGCCTGGGCCATCACCCGCGGGATTCCGGTTAGCTGGTTAAACTTAACATTTAACCTGTTCACTTTGTAAATGGGATTTCACATCCCTAGTTTGGAATCAGAAGTACGCCATCAGGCAGCCGCATAGACAAGAAAAAAACAAAACAAACGTTAAACAATAAAAAAAAGTGGAAAGCAGCATTTTTATTCTGCACAATAAAGTTTCAAAGCTGTAATAAAGTCAATGTTCAGTTGTAAACTCTTGAAAAAACAACCCTAATGTTCTGTTCAAAACTATTAACATTTCACAGTTACGAACAACCTCCATTCGCAAGGCGCTCGTAACGCCGAGGTTCTACTGTAATTGGTTCTGGGTGTGAATTAGCCACTCCGATACAAATAAAGCTATTGTACCCTGTGAGGCACCATACACTCTGATAAAACATTTTTAAAAAATCAGCTAAAACACTCGGGGCTAGATTGTCAGATGGGTCTAAGCAGGGGAAATACACAGTTGCCTTGTCCTTTATGGGGTGGGGCTGGGGATGAGGGGTTCAGGATGCAGGCTGCTCTGGAGAGAGAGAATTACCTCAGCCCTCTCTCACCGCAGCAGCTTGGGACCAGGTGAGAAGCGCCTCTCAATGGCTGCTGCAGCTCCAGCAGGCACAGCTGGGAGAAGGGTGCATGTCTCCTGGCCGGGGCAGGTCCCAGTTCGTCTGTCCGCAGCACTCCTCAGCCAGAGTGAGGAATGCAGCAAACTGCACTTTCGCCTCGCTCCCTAAAGGGGAATAGCTAGCAATGTTCCTGTACAAATTGAGGGGGGGGGGGAATTTCAGCTTCCCCCCTCCCCAAAGTGAGCCTGAAATGTGAGAAGCTCAGAGCTGGCGTAGTCCCGGGGGCGGGGGGATGAATAGCTCCATTCACCTGCCTGGTGTTTCTGTCTCTTTATTTACTGAGTACTATAGTTTTATGAGAAGCAATCCTATTCCAAGCACATCCCATTTTCCTGGCACAACCAAACCCTTACACTGTTTTAAGTTATGATGAGGGGAAGCCACATCCCGAATTTGATAGTCCTAGCTCTTACCATATAGGAGTTCATGAACAGACAGAAAAACACACACAGACAGACAGACAGACTCTCTCATATATACATTAGATTATGAGGGACCCTTTTGTGTGGAGTTACAGGATTAGAAAACAATCTGCATAGAACTGCTGGCTGGCGGAAGAATATTTTAAATGCTACAACATGCCACTCTCTTTCTATATGCAGAACCCCTCCTGATGCCAAATAGACAACATGGCCCTATGCTCTTTTTAAATGCACATAACATTTTGAAGAATGGAATTTAACATAAGGATTTGTCTCAGCTGAATGAGCTTGTCTACAGGTCATAGTTAAGGCCTACAGCACTATGCATGTAATGACAGAAGTTAGGGATGATCCACAGGGGACAGATCACTCAATAATTACCTTGTTCTGTTCATTCCCTCTGAAACACCTGGCATTGGCCACTGTCAACAGGCAGGACACTGAGCTAGATGGACCTTTGGCCTGACCCAGTAGGGCCATTCTTATGTTCTTAACATGATCCCATACCTCTCGACTTGCCATACCCACACAGTGTGAGGAAAAGATCCAAAATATAGGAAAATAACAGTTACTGTCCATCCATCTAAGGCAATAACCAATCCTTGATAGCGGTCAATGCTAGATGCTTTCACGAAACCTACACAACGCATTGAGTTTGGCAATACTATCCCACAAGCAGAGAGTTCTGCTATGAGTGACCAAAAATGAAGAGTGAAGTCAATGCCAAAAGCTCCTATTGGCATCTACGGGACCAGGATCTAACCCAAAGTGCCGAAAGTTGTGGGATCATTTTCCATGGCATCCTGAACTCTCTCTGTTTCACAGTTCAGTGTTTCTACCATAAGGAGTTCAAGGCCATTCAAGTCCTAGTCCTGCTCCTCTTGAAGTCAATGGCAAAAGTCACATTGACTAGGTCTCCATAGTTTAATTGGTGAGAGTTTGGCCTGCAATGGCAGGAGAACACTCATTTATTTAGGGGGGCACAAGCACACCCAGATCTTACAGGGAACGAGTAGAGAGTTACTGGCCGGTACTTCTTACCCGCAAAGGAGAAGGCCATAATCTCTTGGATGTGTGGCGCTGCAGCGGGTGGGCGGTAAGCAATCTTGCCATGGTTTATATCCGCTTGTGTGAAATACTTGACTGGGGAGAGAGGCCTGTCTCTGTGCTCCACAATTCCTAGAGAGACAGAGAGTTTCATGTTACCAGGAGGCATCCATTTCATTGTGAGCCCTGAACAATCCAGGCTCTGCCACTCCCCCTTCCCTCTTGGATTGTTATTTACGTCTGCAATGTTATCTCTTCTTTTACAGAATCTCTGTTCATGTTCTCCAGAATGGGCAGCCTGGCCTTAGCTCATCTGGTTGCATTTACACACAGTATAGATCTCTGGACCTAACAGGACACTGGGAACTAAACACAGATTTCTAATTTAGGCCATGTCTCCACTTACTGAAGGATCGACGCTCTGGAGATTGATCTTCTGGGGTTTGATTTAGTGGGTCTAGTAAAGACCCACTAAATCAAATGTTGAGTACCAGTGCTGATGAGGGTACCCTCATCGCTGTCGCAAAGCGTGAGGGAAGTGGATGGGAGCATTTCTGTGGACACAACGCCAAGCTTGGTTTAAGGTACATCGACTGCAGCTACGTTATTTCCATAGCTGGAGTTGTGTACCGCAAGCCAACCTTCCCCCTGCAGTGTAGACCTGGCCTTACTAAGCACGGTGGAAGCCTATGGATGGAGAGGTGAAAAGAGGAAAATCATGGAATGCAGCGTGCATTATATTCCAAGAACTGACAATACAGAGAGCAGGCCGGGCACTGCTCACTCCTGTGCTCACCTCTGAAATTCAGTTGAGAAATCAATGGTTTGAAAAGCACGGAAGGAAGCTGGAGAGATTAACAGCTGTCTACACAGACAGCTACTTTGGATAAAGCTAGAGAACTCAGAAGAAATAACAATAAACGCACAGAAGTTCTCAGCCTCCAGCACTACGACTCTGTGTAGAAACAGATATTAATAGCCCATCTTGCCTTGATTTGGCAGCAGAGGTGCCGTCACGTTGTACACGATTTTCCCACTCGGGCTCTCTGAGTCTACAAAGGAGAGATGATGGGGCTCAATCACTGTCACACGATCCTCCAGTGCCTAAAAAAAACATATTATACAATGGACACAATCGCCAGGGACAGCTGGAGACTGACTCAGAAGCATAACATACCAAACACACCAGCCTTCCCCGCTCCACGTACACCAGACAGTCCAGCAGAGCTGCCAGGGCTGGGTGTCTCCATTTGCTCCTGGTGGAGCGGGGCAGCACATTACTACCCCCTACAGGAGCAAGCGGGAAGCAGATACACACACTCTCTTTTAGCAGAACGGATTTGGAAAAAAATAATAAAGGTGATTTAAAACCCTGGGTAAAGATACAAGTCATTTCCCAGCCAGCTTGTTAGTCTTGTCAGACGTGAGTTATAATAATTAATGGAGATATACCTATCTCATAGAACTGGAAGGGAGTGTGAGAGGTCATTGAGTCCAGTCCCCTACCCTCAAGGCAGGACCAAGCACCCTCCCTGACAGATTTGCCCCAGACCCCTAAACGGCCCCCTCAAGGATTGAACTCACAATACTGGGTTGAGCAGGTCACTGCTCAAACCACTGAGCTATCCCTCCCCGCTAAGTTCAGTGCTTTTAAAAAAAAAATTACACATTTTCCAGCTATTTCCATGGCACTATCAAGGAATAGCAGTTTTTCCTTTCTTCTAAACCCTTTTAAAAACAGTGTGCCAATTCCTGCATTACCAAACATCTGTGCTGGGTCAATGCAATGCTTGGTGCGTAATACTAGGTTTACCCAGCATTGCTCAAGTCTTTAACGCAAATAAGTTTCGGGTTTTTTTTTATTTAAATCCTTGCTTGGAGGTGGGCTAGGGATAAAGGGTTCAGTACACAGGCTGCCCCGGGGAGAGAGGACAACCCCAGCTCTCTCTCACCACAGCAGCTTGGGGCCAGGTGAGACGCACCTTTCCATGGCCACTGCAGCAGGCACAGCTGGGGAAGCAGTACATGTCCCCTGACTGGGGCTCAGACAGACACAGGCAGAGAAATATATGAAATATAAAGTAGAGCTATCCCTTTCTCCACCCCTGCCCCCTGCTGGCCCAATGGGGTTATAGCTGTCCCAGTCCACATCTCTGGCCCCTTACTGCCCCCCTGTGGTCATTTTACAGTATAACGGTCACTCCTATCAGAACCCTCCCTCTCCATTTTTTGAGAAACAATCAAATTCCAGGCACATCCCACTGTCCTGCCACAACCAAACACTTGCTTTAAGTTAGGATAAAAAGAAGCGGTATACCAAATTCTGTGGTCCTAGCTCTTGCTGTTTAAGACAGAGGTGGGGAACATTAGGCCCGGGGGCCGGATGTGGTTTCCGGCTTGCGTGGATCTGGCCCCTGAGGCTCAGGTCTCCCCACCTGCCCCAGCATTGGGAAACCCGTGCTGGCGCTCCAGGCTCCCCCCACCCCTGCCAGCCGTGGGGCTTAAGCGCAGAAAATCTACTAGCTTGGGCCTCCCTACGCTCCAGTGTGCAAGGAGAATGTGGAGAGTGTCTTTCTCCATCTCAGTCAGGGGCCACAATCAATGAGGATTTGGGTTATTTTTTCTGATTTTTCTGTAGGTCAGTGGCCCCCAACCTAAAAAATGTTCCCCATCCCTGGTTTAGGAGTTCTTGAACAAATGGACAGACAGACAGAGACAGACACACACACACACAGATGCACAAACTCTCTAAAATATATAGTAGATATGTTAGAGGAATTAACTGCTGCAAGAGTCACTGAGTTAAATATTCCAGCTAGATCCTAAAAGGGTCCAGATCATTTCATGATCACCAACCTCTGTGGCTACACAAGCTACGTTCATTATACAGGTACGTACACCACCACATCTGGACAAGTTATAAACCTTTGAAAGTTTGCACATGCTCACTGGAGATTTGCAAAAGCTTTATAGCTAAAAATCTCAGGTTTCACCCTCACTGAGCATTGTCTGAGCTTCTTACAGCTTCTAGTGCTATGACCGGACTGGGCACGACCATCTCCACTTAGAATGCTCCAGCCCTTCCCAGTCATTTTGTAGCATTTCAGTGTTTGACTTTGCAAACCTGTTCTTTTAACATGACGGGAAGGAAAGGGAAAGGAAAGGGAAGGGAAAGAAAGAAAGAAGCTTTCATGCTTTAGATCAGGGGTGGGGAATTTCAGCCCTGGGGGCAGCCCCGAGTTTGTCTGGATCTAGCCCCCTGAGGCTCTGTGCCCCACACTGGGACTCAACCCTCCCCCCTCCCCCACTGCCCCACCGTGGGGTTGGAGCATACAAAATCTATTAGGCTGGGCACCCCTAGGCTCTGGTGTACAAGAGGAATGTGGGGAGTGTCTTTTTTAGTCGGGGGCCATTTCAGTGAAGGTTTGCTTTTTTTTTTTGCTTCTCGCTTGTGTGTGGCCCCCAACTAATTTTGGGGGCTCTGGAGGTGGGGGACTGGCATTGGGGGGCTCTGGAGCTCTGGGGGTGGGGGACTGGCATTGGGGGGCTCTGGAGTCTAATCTCCTATGGGCTGTAATAGTTTGGTTGTTGGGGTTAGTGTGTAGGTGCTGGGTGATGGTAGTGGCCTGTGATAACAGGTCAAACTAGATGATGTGATGGTCCCTTCTGGTCCTAAACTCTATGACTAAGTGTGGAATTCCTGTACAATTGGCTAGCCCTATTAAGGAGCGGGATTTTACCTGTCTCTGTTGCATCAGATATAGGCTAGCGCTGAAAGCAGGATTCCTAACAACACAGATTAACGGAATAGGCGAGTGGTTCTCAGCCGGGATACCCATATCCTGTGGGTATTCAGAAGTCTTCCGGGAGAGGGAACATCAACTCATCTAGTTATGTGCTTAGTTTTACAACAGGCTATGTAAAAAGCACTAGTGAATTCAGTACAAATTTCACACAATGACTTGTTTATACCACTCTGTGTACTATCCACTGAAATGGAAGTACAATATTTATATTCCAGTGTTTTATTTTATAATTATATGGCAAAAATGTGAAAGTTGGCAATTTTTAAAGTAGCAGGATGCTGTGACACTTCTATATTTTTATGCCGGATTTTGTAAGCAAGTTGTTTTTAAGTGAAGTATAACTGGGGGAACGCGAGACAAATCATACCCAAGGGGTACAGGAATTTGGAAAGGATGAAAGCCACTGGCCTAGATATCAGGAGAACAAAATTCTATCCCAGGCTCTGCCACTGCGTGGCTGTGGGCTCTCTGTACCTCAATTTCTCCATTTATAAAATAAGAACAATTTGTAAAATACTCTTAGATCTTCAGATGAAAAAGTGAATTAATTACTTTGTACGCTAAGTGTTATATTCCTATAATATTGTCTTGTATACACTGCACAATGAATAAAAAGCAGATAAACCCCAATCTACATCCAGTGCTCAGTGGGGGAGTATATTTGTCCACAGAACCAGCTGGATTAAAATTATAGCTTTGATGTTGCCACTGATGCAACATCAAAAGCAACATTCATGAGAGAATTCATCCTAGGCGAGAGCAAGAGTAAAAAAAGCAAAAGCAAATTAATTCGAATATACATCATTCACTAAATAAATCTGCAATTAGGGATACTTGTTCAACCTCATGGTTTTCAGTGCATTTGCACGAGCGTAAGGAACTTCGAAAACAATTATACTGAGGTTGCATAAGAAGGAATGTAATTCTGTTCTCTCCTTCTTAGAAGCATTGACTCTGCACAGCTAACAGAGATTTATGGCAGTGAAAGTTACTTTTTGACACCGAGGCCAACAAAGAGAACTGGTCTCGCAGTAATCACAGGGCCAAATTACAGAGCCACTCTTTGGAATAAAACTGCGCTTTAACGATCACTGAATTTCCTTCCATTCCACAAATCTGATCTCAGCTTACCCTCGCAGCTAGTGTTTGCCATCAGAGACATTGCCTTAATAACTTTTGGAGAATGTGTAACTTGATGCCTAATTGAAAAAGGAAACACTATAGATAGGTGCCCAGCTTGAGTGTCAAACTTTCACTGAACTTTCTTTGACCTTTCTCACACAGATCAATCAAACCAGTCTTCTTCTGTAGAAGGACTTAGCATTGAGCTCATTCTTCAGCAAGGACGCCAGTCTAATTCTGAAGGAATTTAGACATTTGCAAACGGATTAGCAGAACTCAATCATGCTGACATGGAAAAGCGCTCTTTTTAGGATGGGAAGATTTAACGTTATGGGCACTTTGTAATTGCCACCAAGGCATATTTGTCTCTCAAAGAGGCAGCATTTGTAGGTTGTGATGAACCCCCTCAAGCAAAGCACAGTATTTTATCACTGCTGGATTTTGTGGTGCATAATCTATATCTATATTTTAGAGTGTGTCTGTCTGTCCGTTTGTTCAAGAACTCCTCCTAAACCGTCATAGCTAGGACCTCCAAATTTGGTGTGCAGCTTCCTCTTCTCCAAATTTAAATCAAGGTCAGGGTTTGGTTGTGCCTGGAAAACAGGAAGCGCCAGGAAGGGGACTATTTCCCATACCACAGGGAGGGGCACAGCGATGGGAGGGATGCAATCCCTGGGGGCAGCTGCCGCATGAAGAGAGTGGCCAGCAGGACCAGGGCTCCGCCATCTTGCCTACCAGCACCCAGGTAAGGAGCAGTTCTGTCCCAAACCTGGAGCCTTCCCCCACTCCCATAGAAAGCCATGAGGGGCGCTAGAGGTGGGACAGTCCCCAGAGCAGGCTGCAGGCGGCCAACTGAAGCGGGGGAAAGGCCATGGAGCCCGGTCCCTTCCCATACAGCCTGCAGGCCACGAATGGGGGACACTGCAGTAGGGGGCAGCCCCCAGAGTCTCACCTCCCCAGACAGCCTGCAGGTCATGGAGGGGATGGGTGCTCGAAGAGGCTGCAGCCTTTGGAGCCTGGTCCCCCGCAAACAGCCTGCAGGCTGCAGGGGAGGGCAACAGGGGGGCGGGAGGGGGACTGCTGGCAAGTGGGTGCTGTCCCAGCCCCTTGGGGAGGACTCAATGCCAGAGCAGCACCACCCTCACCACCACAGGCGGCCACGGTAAGTCCCGTAACCCCTCCCCCACGCCTCCTGTCTTGAGCCCCCTGCCCTGAGTCCTTTACCTCCCACCTGCCTTGATGTCAGCACTCCCTCCCTCTCCCGAGTCTCCCACACCTCCCTGTCCTGAGCTCCCCCACACTTCCCAACCCTCTGCCCTAAGCCACCTACTCCCTGCCCTTCCCCACCCCCCAAACTCTCACTCCAGCCTACATTTTCCTTCATTTTTGAAAAATACGATTGAAATAACACACATATATTTTTTTCATTTATTTTTCCAAAAAGAGCAATTCCTTCACTGACAGACCTGCGCAACACCATAAAATCCAATATTGCATGGAGCAGACACATCTCCCATGAATCTTGCTTTAAACAACACCCAGGGAAAGGACACTGACTGAATATTGCTCCCAACAACACTCAGAGCAGATTTTCTTAGTGCCTACAGGTTGCCCCCATTTTAAATCTTGACAAAACCATCCTGCCATGATGGTCGGACTGCTCCTGGTTTCACCGTTCCCTTCAGCTCCTTCACCCATTCCTATCTCCCTAATTTCTACCGGCCTCGCAGGCGTATCTTTAAATTAAAATAACTAGGGGAACGAGTGCATTAGTTGACATGACATAGTATAGAAATGTAATACTTCCGGTGCCAAAAAGAGTAACTTGCAATGCAGATGTGACAGACATGTCTGAACATTTTAGGAAACTATTGTAATTTATGTTCCTGATGTCAGACTGGTGGATTAAAACTTTGTGATGCGAGCAGATGGTGATCTTTGTAAATATGGACTGCAGGGTGGTTACTCACAAGATCTATTTGTTATTGTCTCTCTAACCCAATGCTTTTTGCCTCCCCTCTGTAATGCATGAGGCTTGAATTCTTTGAAAAGATGTTAAAATGTAGTTTCTGCCTTTTTCTTCTTTATTAAAAATTTCTACAGTTTTACCTCCACCACCTCTATTAATATTAATTTTTCCAAGGGTGTGGGTTTTTTTTACACATCATTTCACTTTTCTTTTTTCTACTTTGCATTAGGGTTGTAAAATCCCATTCAATTAGTCAACCGGTTAAACATGTTTCACCAGTTAAGCGATTAAACAAGAGTGGATTAGAGTGAACCCCCTGGCCACTATGGCCAGGCTGGAACAGACTCCCCACTGTGGATGGGGGCTGCTCTGGCCGGGCTGGAGAGCCCCTCCCCACGACATGCTGGGCCAGCTGCAGACAGGGGCTGCTCCGAGGCCCAGTGGGGAAGGGCACTCCTGTAACAACAGAAAGGGAAAATGCAGTGACAATTAGACAGCGGCTTTGGGTTAGACTTACAGTCATATGGAGCGAGGACCCGAGTGAGAGCTGCGGTGCTTCGGGTAGCTGTGGGAGAATAGCAATGTTGAACACGTGGGTCTCCAGGTGGGTTTGAGGAGTAGCGGCACTCGATACCTGCAAAGGCAAGATCATACAAATGGAACCTGGATCCCAGTTCATTGCTATTGTGTGAAAAGACAGCTGCCTCCCTAGACCTTTCTCTTACTCCCTCCCCCCCGCACACACACACTCCTCCTTCTGGCTCTAGGAGGACAAAGCTAGGGGTTTGATCCAGAAAACATAAGCCATCAGTGGAACTAGATGATAAATGCTGTGGGAGAAGGGGAACATAAGAACGGCCATACTGGGTCAGACAAAAGGTCCATCTAGCCCAATATCATCTTGCTGACAGTGGCCAATGCCAGATGCTCCTGAGGGAGGGAACACAACAGGTAATACTCATGTGATCCCTCTCTTGTGACCCATTTCCACAGAAACAGACTGTGGACACCATTCCTACCCATCCTGGCTAATAGCCATTGATGGACCTAACCTCCATGAATCAATTCAGCTCTCTTTTGAACCCTTCTAATCTTCACCCCCTCCTCCGGCAAGGAGTTCCATGGATTAACTATGTGCTGAATGAAGAAAAACTTCCATTTGTCTGTTTTAAACCTGCTGCCTATTAATTTCATTTGGTGACCCCTAGGTTCTTATATTGTGGGAATATGTAAATAACTTTTCCTTATTCACTTTTTCCACACCACTCATGATTTTATAGACCTCTATCATATCCCCCCCCCCCTTGTCTCCTCTTTTCTAAGCTGAAAAATCCCAAAGGGAAGAGAAAACACACTGTATCTTCAGTCAGATGTCTCAAAGGTTTGTGTCTTTAGGATCCAAATACACTCACATAGTACATGCCACTGTACTACACTTTGATACTACCATGGTTAATGCCACACAAGTTCACTAGAAAAATGATCCATGCCACCATCCCAAACCAAAATGTAATCAATTGTATTTAACTCATCATGATCCATTTGCTTTTTTAAAAATAAAACAACACATGGATCCAGCATAACTTCTTTTCTCACAAAAATGCAAACGTAAAACATAGTGGAAAACGTTATACTGGAGAAGTTTGTAATAATCCCGAAAGACAGCAAGCGCCCTTAGCTCTCATTGCCTTCCCTGCTCAGCACCCCACAAAGGGTGGAATGATTAGGCCTATGTCCATCCTAGAACTTTGCCAAGTAAGAATAGACTTAACAACACACTTCAAGTTAAGGCCGTGCATGAAAATGATTTGCTGACTTAAGGCCTAAAAAAGTAACACTGGAATGATTTTAGACTCTCACAGAGTCTATTTATGTTGATGTCATTTGAACTACAATTCCCCGAGCGCTGATGACAGCTTTAAGCCCGTTTTTTCTAGGAGGTCACATTCCACTGATCTGGACTAGACATATTATGATCTTCTGATGTGGCATAGCACACCATAGCTTTGTTTCCCTATAGGGCTCCTCATATCATTATTGCCACTGCGTCAAGAAAATAAAAACAAACTTCTGACTCATGCACAGAGCATATACCTAACAGAAACACAGCAATTAAATTAAAGATTAGCTTGCTCAACATCTGGCACTCTTAACTTCCTCATTATCACTTATGTTAATTACTTCAGAAATTACCTTAATTGCCTCTCAGTAGTAGCATCTAAGTTGTAAACCAAATGTAAAGAATATTGCATGCAAGTGTTCATGTTGACATAGCATTTTGGGAGGCTGTTAAGCTTCCCTGCAAAATGAAAGGTCCTGTCTGAGAGATTTTATGATCATTCTGCCTGTGGGCAACATGACGTTTATTTTATTATAATGGTGGCTGCGCCTTTTTGTTTATATGTACATTTATTAATGGAGGGAAAGGAGCAGTCTAGTATGAAAATTAAATTATTACATGAGAGAACCCCAGGAGAGAGACGAGCACTTGATTTTGGTGTTTTCAACTCTAACTCAACTCTCAAAAAAATCCACATGCTGTTCAAAGTCAGCATGATAAATTTGGGGCAGGTACGCTGCATTTTTCATATAAAGCAAAGACATTAAATCCCTGCTTTCAGTGCAAAACAGAACTGAACCCTGGAGTCGTGAGCCACACTTCCATACTGGCAGCAGCAAATCTCAAGGTGGGCTGCTTGTCTTTATTCACTCACATTCGTAAGTTTACACAGAGTGGGTGCCCGGGCAGAGAAAAACTGCACCCATTTCCCCATAGAGTTTTTTTCCCCCTTCCTTCCCTCTCAGCTATTCCATGACATGGCCTAAGGCCACGTACTTACATGCCAGAGATCGATCTTCTGGCAGTTGATTTAGCATGTCTAGTTAAGACTTGCTAAGTAACACGCCGAGGGTGGCTCCGGTCGGCACCAGTACTCCTTGCTGTCGCAAGGAGTGAGGGAATGCTCCCATTGGTGTCCCACTGTGAAGACGGCACCAAGCTCCTCTTAAGGTAAGCCGACTCCTGATACGTTCTTTATGTAGCTGGAGTTGCGTACCGTAAGCCAACCTTCCATGTCTAGTGTAGACCTGGCCTAAGGCACAGGACCATCCCTGCCGCCTTTGGCTGTAGCTTTCCCCTGGAAAGTGCTTATCTTGAAGAGGGTTCCTATTACAAAGGGTCACAGGAAGAGAAGAAAGGAAACAGCTGTGTTACATCTTCCTAGTGATATCTGTGGGGCTGCTGGGGAAAATTTTCCTCTCAGCCCCAGTGCCCCAGTGCCCTGGTCTGCCCGGGAGCCAGTCCCAACCCCTCCCACACACACACTATGAAGATCCTGTTGCAGGATTCCTGAAAAGTGGCGTGCCATGAGCATCGGCATTTTTAAGCAACAATATTTTGTGTAGAGCCCAGCATGGAAGGGGAGGGTGGCACGAGCCTCCAGGCACACTAGTCCAATCTGTGTCTTACATGCTGTCCTGAGTGTGCTGCTTTCATTCTGGGAGCTGCCCTATGCTGGCCATGCATACAACATAAGCCATCGGGGGCTGTCATTCTCTCACACCTTACACCTCCATCTCCTGGAGTGATACAGTCTGACTTTTCCTCCTGAGGGGCTACTCTTCTTGGAGATGGATGGTACGAAATGAAAGGCAATTTCCCCTACAGCTGACAAAGCAGGTCAACATCACCATACAAGAGTTACCCTCATAAGTCAGCTCTGCAGATGGATACCTCTCCTGCTGCAGTCCTTACCATGGGCCATATCCCAGAGTCAGACAAAACTCTCTTTGCCATCAGTGGGAGTTTTACCTGCATTACGACTAAGATTTGGTCCTAACTCTGATTAAACCTTTCTGTCACCAGGCATGAATATCGATCCGGATAACGATGAAGGCGGAGCAAAAGAGAGTAAATCACAGAGGAAAAGACCAGCTGCTTTGGGACAGTTTGCTAAGTCAAGATGGCAAGACAGAGTTGTTACCTGGAAGTAGAAAGAGTCGCTCTCCACTTGCGATCCGGAGTGCCGGTACCACACAACACCTTCGTTGATATCGTGCTGGGTGAAAGAGGTGGTGGGCATGGCCGCTCTTTCGGCTGACAGACGCTGCCATGAGTCAGCCGGGCCATCTGCTGGCATTGGAGCTAGAAGGACCACCTCCCCTGAGAAAGCAGAGGTGAACAGGGAGAGGCCATATATGAGTAAAGGAGGCATGTGTATCCTCCCCCACAACCAACGTGCATTCAAAGGGAAATGTCTTTACCCACCGTTTACTGGTTTTGCTCTAGATTAAAACAAATCATCAGTGGATTCCAGAAACCCCTGTGAGGCAGGAGAATCCACTTCTGGAGATGGGTGACAGGCACAGGGAAGATGCCAGAGGTCAACAAGGCCAAATCCATGTCTCCCAAGTGCCAGCATGCTGCTCCTAGGCCGCCCTACCTACGCCTGCATACAAAGAGCTAACTCTTCATCTGTTCTTTTGTCAACATTTGGGGTGCCCTTTAATTATTTCTAGCCCAGACTGTCTATTGCTTTTGGGTACCTTATAACCCCTTAATTCTGTTCTCTATTCATTTCATTAAGCAGAAATATTCAGCCCACATGCAATTGCTGAACTAATACATTCAAACACCCAGTATTATTAGCGGATGTAAACACTCTGCACATGTACAGCTTCTAATCAATAATATTCAGTTTAAAGATCCCTTGACGTCGCACAGAAGACATTCCACTTATATCCGCAGCTACACACAGACTGACAGATCTTCAGCTGGCGTGAGCTGTCCTCGCTCCACTGGGTTCAGTGCAGCCATGACGAGGCACATCAGCAGAGGATCTATCCTGTTATATACAGGTTGTATCTCCCTGGTCGGGCACCACCAGGACCTGATTGGTCCCAAATGAGAGAATTTGCTGGGCCAGGGGAGAATTTGCCGGACCAGAATCTGCCTGGAGCCAGCTGGCCTCCCGCCTCTGGCCTTTTCTGCTCCCTCCCCAGCCAGGCTATCCGTCGTGCTGCCATGGGCGGCTGGGATTCTTCAGCCCCAGACTGGCTTCGAGCTGTTGCAGACGGACAGATTTCCTCAGTTCTGTGCTGCCACAGGCATCTAAGGCTCTCCAGCCCCCAGCTCCACGCTGCTGCAGGTGGCTGGGCTTCGTCAGCCTTGCACTGAGTGAACGGCTAAGGTCCCTGGCCCCACACTGCTGGGCTTTTTCAGCCCCCGGCCCCACATTGCTACAGACAGCTGGAGTTCTCTAGCCCCTGGCTCTGCACTGCTGTGGGTGGCCAAGGTGCCCCGGTCCCACACTGCTGTGGACTGCCAGGGTTCTATGACCCCAGCCCCAGCACTGCTATGGGGCTGCTGGCCCTCTGACCATTAGACTTCCAGGCTCTCTGGTCCAAGAGCATCCGTGGTCCCACTGGACCATGGATGTTGCCAGATCAGAGAATGCCAGATTTCAGAGGTGCAACCTGTATCAACCTTGACCCTTAAAAGTATATAGAAGGAGATTGTTCTGCCTTACTCATGTGGAACAAGAACTCACTCCATGAGCACTCCCATTTACTTCCAGGAGATTACACAGAGCCAGCTGCTATTCACTCAGAGAAAGGACATCAAAATCTTGGTCCTAAATATTTTATTTTATTGAGCCAAAAAGAGCACAAACTGTGTTCAAAATCTTATGTATAAATACAAACAAATCAAGCAAAAAAAAAAAAAAACCTTATTAGAAACTACACTAATCAAAACAATCCCACTACACTAGCAAAACAAGAAAACATTTTTTTAAAATGAATTATATTTAACTGACATTGAAATAAAGTACTCGTGCCATTGGATTAAATGTCTTTAGATCACATCTGGATGTAATTCTCTTGGGATTCATGAATTCCTAAACTGTCATCTGTTCTGAAATGGTTCCATTACACTGAAGGTGTTGATGTCTTTGTTCCGTGTCTTTTAATAAGTGTTTTTGCAACGGACCAGGCTATTCCCATATGTCAGCTATGACGTCTAATTAATTTGTAACATCTAAATTATTTAAAAATGCAAACGTCCAGGTTAAATCAACTCCTGCACTCAGTATATACTCAGTAACTTCAGAACAAAACTTTGTAGCACGTCTAGAATAATGGCCTCTCTCTGCACCATGGACTTCAATAACGATTTTTCTGTTGCTTCAGGGGGTAGCCGAGTTAGTCTGTTACAGAATAAAAACAGCAAGCAAATGGTCTGGTAGCACTTTATAGACTAACAAAACATGTAGATGGTATCATGAGCTTTCGTGGGCACAGCCCACTAGCTCATGATACCATCTACATGTTTTGTTAGTCTATAACATTTTTCTGTTGATTGCAATAGGGGCATTCTAGAGATTTGTCCTAATGGTAATGGGTTCTATATCACATTTTGCACACAGTTCTAGGGCTGTGCACATCCTTGATGTACATAAAAATAAATGTTAAGGACAGAAAGGGTCATTGTGACCATTTAGTTCAGCAGTGGGCAATAAAATGGCAGTGATTCACCAAGGTTAGCCTCTTGTAGGCCACTACCATTAAACTTACTGGCGCCTCCACAGTACAGGTGATTGCAGGTTGCGTTGGCCATAGATCACCATTCCCAGACAACAGGAGCTGTGGGAAGCAACATGGACTGGGAGACGGTGATCCTTTGAAAAATCTTAAAGACTCTGAATTGGGGAAAGGTGGTCCCAGCCTGGAAGGTAGTACTAAGAAACTATAACCTGCTTGTACCATCTGTCAGAGTGAGAAATTGATTCAATTGTTGCTTAGACTAAAAATATAGCATTTAGAATGTATGTTTGTTTTTCTTTTACGGTAATGATATCTTATCTATATGCCTGCCAAATATAGGTTCCTTTTTTCTACCTCTTTTGCTCAGACCATGAAAGCTTATGCTCCAATACATCTGTTAGTCTATAAGGGTGTGTCTAGACTACAGGGTTTTGTCGACAAAAGTGGACTTTTGTTGACAAAACTATACCTGCATCTACACTGCTGCTGAGTTCTATCGACATAACGTCGACAGAACTCAGCAGTTTTGTCGACGACTGTAAACCTCATTCTACGAGGAATAACGCCTTTTGTTGACAGAGTTCTGTCGACAGAAGGCGTTATTGCATCTACACTGTCCTTTGTGTCTACACTTTCATGTCAACAAAGCGGCTTGCTTTGTCGACAGAACTGGATGTAGTCTGGATGCTCTTTGTCGACAGTATCTGTCGACAAAACTTCTGTCGACAAAAGCCTGTAGTCTAGACGTACACTAAGGTGCTACAAGACTCCTTGTCACTTTTGCAGATCCAGATTAACACAGCTACCCCTCTGATACTTGATCAGTTACTTTTGTCTCCTTTATACTTCAAAATTACACAAACTTTATTTTGTTACATTATCACTATTAACTTTTCATTTCAATAATGCTGAGCTAGGAAAACTATTTTGAGTACTAGAGGTTTGAAGGGTATTTTTCACTAAATAAAAGATGTATTAACATACTGCCGCTATGTAAATATAAAATTAATTCCTTAGACTAGGATTAAAGCAAGAGAAAAAGTATTAGGTTATTAAAGAGTAGTGACCTAGTTCACATTGAATGTTCTCGGGGTTCAGTGTGAACATCATCATTACAGAAAACAGGATTTTCTGGTTTTTATATAAGGTGACAAAGAATAATTTACTCTCATAACAGTTGACATTCACTGGCCCACCTCAGGATTGGGTCGCTCTCAACATCAATGATGGGCAACCTAGGTCAGTGAGTGGGCCACATGAATGACAGCCACAAGACTGTCATAACCAGGGCTTTTTTTGTGATGGTACGCACCGGTACCGTTTTTTGGGAGCACTCACCACTTTCAGTAAGCCCGCTCAGGACACGCAGCAATTAAAGAGGCCAGGACTGCATTTCAGCCCCAACGGGTTTTTTTGCTCGACAAATTTTTTCTAACTTGTTTTAAATTTTTGCTCGACAATTTTTTTGCTCAACATCTTGCAACCCTAGTACCGGCACACACACACCCCCCCCCTTTTTTTTTTAAACAAAAAAGCACTGGACATAACCAAGATGGTCTCCCAGGATAGGGTAGTTTTGCTGTCTGCGCTTGCTTACCTAGAATTTGCAGACTGTGCTCAATGAAACCGTAGCAGCGCTTTGGGTGCAGAGGGAGCGCACGGCTCTCACAGAATGTTGTGTGCAATCTGCATGCAACTCACTTCACATGCCCTTGTTTTAAGTGTGTGTCACTTTAGTGATACCGGTTTATTTACCAAAAAAAAAAAAAAAAAAAAGCTACACAGATGGAAACCAGAGAAATCTGGCAACCCTGCATGTGGGCAAAGTTAACAAAACATCTTGTGGGCCGTACTTTGAACCCTGATGGGCTGCTTGCAGCCCTCAGGCTGCAGGCTGCCCACTGCCTTACAATCACTTACAATCTACCTTTCTGTAGTTAATAAACCTGTTTTATATTTTACCTCAGCCAGTGCTTTTTGGCTGACGCGCTTGAGAAATCTCAGTTCTGTTTACAAAGGCCACTGTGTATCCATGCCACACTGAGGGAGCAGTGAACTAATGAACTTGCACAGGCCAGGGAGGCCTTGAGGAGCGTAAGGCAGTGCTGGGGTGCAAAGCTGGGGAGCCGCTCTATTGATGGCTCATGAGCGGCTGGAGACCATTCATGTGTCCCTGCCTGTACCTGTTACGAGGCTTCAGGCTTCACATCAGCATCACGGACGGCTACAGTGTACTGACTACAGTGAGAGACTCTGCTTCACACTATCCAAGAAATTAAAGAACCACCTGATAAGTATCTTATACAAGAAACAGAAAAACATCAAGAATGACATCTCTAACCTAGAGATTCTCATCTCAAGACAAACATCCACAACGACTAACACCTTACAAGACTTTTGATCAGCATCACAGTGTGAGAGGCCGCCTGAACTGGCGGGGTTAGAGAGCTTGAAGGTCCTTGATACACACACTGACAGCTACACTAAAAGTTCCTTAGCAGCACGGTCCTTTAAATTAATCAAAAGCCTCATTCTGACATCTTTACTCACGTGAGTCAGGATCTTTGGATGCCCGATTTTACTAACGTTTCAAAGCTGGAGAGAAATCCTGATCCTACTCAAGTGAACTGGAGTTTTGGGACAGACTTCAATGGTGCCTGGATGAGCTATTTCTCCACAAATCATAAGGAAGCATCAGCAAATATAAATATCTAATTGGTTTTGAGGAACAATAAGCTGAGGCTGGAAAATAAACACAGCTTTCATGGATTGGAAATTCAGCTTTCGCAGGAGCCTTATTTTGACCCCCTTTTACTCAGGACCTGTTTTCTGTATTTCTCTGCTCTGTAAAAAAATTCTGTGCCTAATAAGGATAATATTTCACAGAAAATTTTGAGGATTAAAGGCTCTTGCTGTTTATTCCTCATCTGAAGCCTCTGATTGTATCAACACAAACTGTTGTAGCGATAATTACAATGATACAACTAGAGGATTATAACTTCAGAGTAAGGTTAGGCAGCAGCAGATGGACTCCTAAAGGCAAAATTCCTGTTTCAACACAAGCCTCTGACAGGCACTGCCCTTACACTGATATTTACAAGCAGGGACATACCCTACTGAATATAATACAAAACAAATGATTAACGGTGATACACACTCCTTAACCATGTATAAAATAGGGCTTATGTAAATATGAACTGAACTGTAGTACTGTACTGGTTTTAACAACGCCTTCCGTGAAACGTCAGCAACTGTTTCAGAAATAAACCTCTTCTAAAAATGAAGTGCAGTCTGTGTTGCGAAAGTGACCCCTTCTAATTTGATCTGTGCAACAAATTAAAACTACAGCACACTTTCATTTGGGTTTAAAGCATGTTTAAAGATAACTTGCCCTTGTTAATGAAACAATACATACGATGGGGAAATGAACATTCTTCTTTTTTATTCATATTTATTTTTCAGCCCAATATGCTCTGTTCTCTTTCACATCCTGGTTCTCTGAGTTTATACGGTCAGTCACAAATCCCATGACTTACCACAGCCTGTAGCATGCTTTTAGCACCTGTGTTTCTGCAGACCGTGGCCAGAATGTGAATGCAGCCACTCAGAGATCAGAACTCAAAACAGTGGGAATTGGGAGAAGGCTTATGGAAGGATTCCAGCAACTCCGCCACACCAATGAACCCCTTCGTTACAAAGTAATCAAGAAGCAATTACTTTGTCCTCAGTGGACATTTGCACAGAGGTGCCCAGGATGTAGAATCATAAAAAACTAGGACTGGAAGGGACCTCGAAAGGTCATCGAGTCCAGTCCCCTGCCCTCATGGCAGGACCAAATACTGTCTAGACCATCCCTGATAGACATTTATCTAACCTACTCTTAAATATCTCCAGAGATGGAGATTCCACAACGTCCCTGGGCAATGTATTCCAGTGTTTAACCACCCTGACAGTTAGGAACTTTTTCCTAATATCCAACCTAAACCTCCCTTACTGCAGTTTAAGCCCATTGCTTCTTGTTCTATCCTCAGAGGCCAAGATCAACAAGTTTTCTCCCTCCTCCTTATGACACCCTTTTAGATACCTGAAAACTGCTATCGTATCCCCCCTCAATCTTCTCTTTTCTAAACTAAACAAGCCCAATTCCTTCAGCCTTCCCTCATAGGTCATGTTCTCTAGACCTTTAATCATTCTTGTTGCTCTTCTCTGGACCCTCTCCAATTTTTCCACATCTTTCTTGAAATGCGGTGCCCAGAACTGGACACAATACTCCAATTGAGGCCTAACCAGCGCAGAGTAGAGCAGAAGAATGACTTCTCGTGTCTTGCTCACAACACACCTGTTAATACATCCCAGAATCATATATGCTTTTTTTGCAATAGCATCACACTGCTGACTCATATTCAGCTTGTGGTCCACTATAACCCCTAGATCCCTTTCTGCCATACTCCTTCCCAGACCATCACTTCCCATTCTGTATGTGTGAGAAACAGATTGTTCCTTCCTAAGTGGAGCACTTTGCATTTGTCTTTATTAAACTTCATCCTATTTATCTCAGACCATTTCTTCAATTTGTCCAGGTCATTTTGAATTATGACCCTATCCTCCAGATTAGTCGCAACCCCTCCCAGCTTGGTATCATCTGCAAATTTAATAAGCGTACTGTCTATACCAATATCGAAATCCTTGATGAAGATATTAAACAGAGCCAGTCCCAAAACAGACCTCTGCGGAATCCCACTTGTTATGCCTTTTGAGCAGGATTGTGAAACGTTAATAACTACTCTCTGAGTACAGTTATCCAGCCACCTTATAGTAGTCCATCTAAGTTGTATTTACATAGTTTATTGATAAGAATATCATGTGAGACCGTATCAAACGCCTTACTAAAGTCTACGTATACCACATCCACCGCTTTCTCCTTATCCACAAGACTCATTATCCTATTAAAGAAAGCTATCAGATTGGTTTGACATGATTTGTTCTTTACAAATCCATGCTGGCTGTTCCCTATCACCTTGCCACTTTTCAAGTGTTTACAGATGATTTCCTTAATTACTTGCTCCATTATCTTCCCTGGCACAGAAGTTAAACTAACTGGTCTGTAGTTTCCTGGGTTGTTCTTATTTCCCTTTTTATAAACGGGCACTATATTCGCCCTTTTCCAGTCCTCTGGAATCTCTCCTGTCTCCCATGATTTTCCAAAGATGATAGCTAGAGGCTCAGATACCTCCTCTATCAGCTACTTGAATATTCTAGGATGCATTTCAGCCCTGGTGACTTGCAGGCATCTAACTTTTCTAGGTGATTTTTAACTTGTTCTTTTTTTATTTTACCTTCTAAAATTACCCTCTTTCCACTAGCATTCACTGTGTTAGGCATTCCTACAGACTTCTCGGTAAAGACCGAAACAAAGAAGTCATTGAGCATCTCTGCCATTTCCAAGTTTCCTGTTACTCCCTCCTCACTGACCAGTGGGCCTACCCTCTCCTTGGTCTTCCTCTTGCTTCTAATGTATTTATAAAACGTCTTCTTGTTTCCCTTTATTCCCGTAGCTAGTTTGAGCTCATTCTGTGCCTTTGCTTTTCTAATCTTGCCCTGCATTCCTGTGCTGTTTGCCTATATTCATCCTTTGTAATTTGTCCTACTTTCCATTTTTTATATGACTCCTTTTTTATTTTTAGATCGTTCAAGATCTCATGGTTAAGCCAAGGCGGTCTTTTGCCATATTTTCTATCTTTCTGACACATCGGAATAGCTTGCTTTTGGGCCCTTAACACTGTCCCTTTGAAAAACTGCCAACTGTCCTCAGTTGTTTTTCCTATCAGTCTCGATTCCCATGGGACCTTACCTATCGGCTCTCTGAGCTTACCAAAATCCGCCTTCCTGAAATCCATTGTCTCTATTTTGCCGTTCTCCCTTCTACCTTTTCTTAGATATGTGCTGTTCTTTGCTGCTCTTAACTCAAAATTCATCCCAAGATGTTAGAGGGACAAGATGGGTGAAATAAGTCTTTCATGCTTACACAGAGTGTGTCTCTTACCAACAGAAAATCAAAGATAATAACTTGCCCACCTTGTCCTTCTAACATCCTAGAACCAACATGACTATGACAACACGGTGTCACATAATGTTATAGTTTGGCACACCAGAGGTGACATTGTGCTCCTATGAAGGTCTTTGTTCCAGGTGCTCAAAGATATGCCAGTTTCCACGGAAATCAATGAGATTCAGGTGCCTAAATACTTTGAACCTCTGAGCCTAAATCCATATTAACTCCACTGAGCTCAATGAATTTTCAAACACGGACAATGAGGCAGAAGGTGGAGACCCCAACTTGGGGCCATCCAGGTTGGAATCTAGGTAAGACTGTTTTACAAGCCTACGCAGCCTTTTTAACTGGCCAGATGTGGGATTTGGACATCATAGTTAAGTGTTCATAACTGGCTGTGTTTAAACATAGCACTACTACAAACTGTGTATTAGAGCTGTACAAAACACCAGGAAATTATAATATCCTGAGTCAGTGTCTGACTCGGCGAGAACTAGAACCCTGCACATCTGTTATGGGTTGGAGATGCCAGGGAAGAAAAGAGGGAACAGCAGCACATCA